ACATCCTCTAGTGGGCCCTGTGTTCATACATAGAGCTCGATTTGCATTTGCCATTGAACACCAGAATTGGCAGGTCTGCCACTGGCACCCCGTGCTTTTCACAAATGAGGGCAGGTTCACCCTGAGCACATGTGACAGGCGTGAAAGAGTCTGGAGAAACCGTTGAGAATGTTATGTTGCCTGTAACATCATTCAGCATGTCCGTGTTGGTGGTGGGTCAGTGATGGTCTGAGGAGGCATATCCATGGAGGGACACACAGACCTCTACAGGCTAGACAATGGCACCCTGAATGCCATTAGGTATTGGGATGAAATCTTTGGACACATTGTCAGACCCTACGCTGGTGCAGTGGGTCCTGGGTTCCTCCTAGAGAAGGAAAATGCCCAGCCTCATGTGGCAAGAGTATGCAGGCAGTTCCTGGAGGATGAAGGAAATGATACCATTGAATGGCCCCCTTGCTTGCCTTACCTAAATCCAATAGAACACCTCTGGGATATCATGTTTCGGTCCATCCGACACCGCCAGGTTGCACCTCAGACTGTCCAGGAGCTCATTGATGCCCTGGTCCAGATCTGGGAGGAATTACCCAGGACATCATCCGTCGTCTCATTAGGAGCATGCCCCGACATTGTCAGGCATGCATACAAGCACATGGGGGCTATACAATCTACAGAGTACCATTTTGAGTTGCTGCAATGAAATTTCATCAAAATGGACTAGCCTGATACATAATTTTTTCACTGATTTCCGGGGGGTGTCTTTGAATTCAGTCCTCTGTAGGTTGATCATTTTCATCTCCATCAAACGATGGAGCATCCTTACGCTCCTAATGTATTACCCAGTCCATATCAGTATATCCAGCATGATATTTTTCCCCATTGAGATCTGATGTGTTTTCAAAGTTGCAGCAGCTGCAGATTGGAAGGAAAGGTTATTTTCATAACATTAAACTATATTATAGCTTGTGTAGAAATTGAATATGCTGTATTGTTTTATTTGCTTTTTTTTTCGCATAAACGTTGGAGTTAATCTGTAACGAAAAGGTAAAGAATGCTTTTGTAATCTCCAAGGCATTAATCCTTTAGCTAGACTCTGCACCACCTTCCTAAATTCTCCTCCAGGATCCTGAACAGCCAAGAATTAAAAAGAGCAAAAGAAAGTCACAAATAGTATAACCCATTTATTTATATCAAAGTTTTAAAATTCCAGGTGAAACTACTCACATGATATGTCTGCAACTAAGCACTATGTAAACTGCATGTATATGCTGAATCAGTAGAGCTTAATGACTGACATTGTCCTTAAAGACTGCGGTAGCTACCCTCAGGTGCAGCAAGCCACAGCTCTGTGTAAGAATTCTACCTCCACTGCAAACAATTCTAGGTTCATCCCCCACTGCGTTTCATCACTATGGACTTTTTCAAGGTGTCATAGGTACAGAATGCTTCCGTGCAGACCTGGAAATGTTTGTAGTGAAGGTAGAATTCTTAGCCCTCGTGAACACTGGACGTTTTGATAACGCTGGTAATGTTAGCTGTGTAAAGTCACGTCAAAAACGTTAGTTTTTTAGCGTTTTTGCATTAGCGTTTAACGGCGCTTTGCTGTGATCAGTAGTGTTTTCCCACATTTGCATTTTTTAGCAGTTTATTTTACCTCCCCCAATTTTGGGGGGTAAAAAAAATGTCAAAAAAAGCCGGTTTGTGGCGTTTTACTGCATTTTGCCTCGTTTTGCCACATTTTTCAGCATTAGAGCATTTTTACAGCTAAAAAAAACTCCTCCAGAAACCGACTAGTCCTGGGTTTTTTTCCAGCCAAAAATTCCCAGCCAATAAACATTGATTACAGTCTATATGTGCATGGACACATAGGAAAACATGCTGGGGGGGTTTACTGGCTGTCGAAAAAAAACGTCAAAAGCCAAAAACAGCAGCTGTAAAAACGTCAAGTGTGCACGAGGAATTACACAGAGCTGTGATATGCTGAATCCAAGGGAGAAGGAATTGGCACAGTCTCCAAAGGGCAATGTCATTTATTAGTCCTCATGCACACTAGATGTTTTTACAGAGGCTGTTTTTGGCTTCTGGCATTTTTTTCTCCAGCCAGTAAACTCCCCAACATGTTACCCTATGTGTTCATGCACACATAGGCTTTAATCAGCATTTTCTGGCTGAAAAAAAAACCCTAAACTAGTGGGTTTCAAGAGTTGTTTTTTAGCTGTAAAAACACTGATAAAAGCTGAAAAAATGGCTATCCAGCGTTTATGAGCTAAAAAACACAAATGCTGAAAAACGCTGAAAAAAAGCTAATGCAAAAACGCTAAAAAACACGTTTTTATTGCAGCACTCTACAGCTAACGCTACTGGCATTTTTATAACGTCAAATGTGCATGAGGCCTCAGGCTCTAATGATATGATACATGTATACTATTTACATAGTGTTTCATTGCATACATATCATATGAGTGTTCTTTTTACCAGGAATTTTAAACTTTTTATAAAAAAATAAATGGTTTTACACTATTTGCATCTTTCTTTTGGTCTTTTTAAGGCAATTAGTTTAAAGAGAAACATTACTCTCACAATCAACATTAAGGGTCCATTCACCCCAGGTGCGGGAGGAGACAGCATTGGATGACTATTCCAATGCAGTCCCATTGCACTTCACTGCAAGACAAGGTAAAATGCCTCTTCTTAGTGTGGCCAGTTAACACCACTGTGTTGTGGTGGTGTGTTGGGGTGCAGTGCTTTTCTTCAGAGCAGCATGGGTTACCACATGCCTGCCAATAGAACTGTGACGTGATGTTTCAATAAAGTTGGTTGAAAAAAAAGGGAATAGTGCAATGCGTCGATGTTAGTGCACTGAATCAACACTGCCCTGGCCTGGCCACAAAGTTGCAATGCAACAGCCACTGTGAACAAGCCCTAACTTCTTTTAATCCTTATGTTGCTAGTCTTAGTAAATAGATAAGAAAGTGTATTATATTTTAAACTTTTTTTCAGTTTTCATCAATTGCTTTCTGGTTTCTGTTTTCGGCCAAATTATTATTTCATACATTCCAGGAATTTTAATAGCCATGTTTTTTTCATTCATGTGGAAGAGGGGAGGAGTGGTTTTCTCAGCTGAGCACACCCTTCTGCCGGACTAAGGGCAGATGGATTCCAAGAAGTAATTCCAAGAAGAAAATGCTACATGAATCATCTGCCCTTACTCAGGAAGGCTGTTTCTAAAAATGCTAGGGAAGGATGTTTTTTCAAAGTGACGTCTCAACAAAATAAAATATGGAGACATTGAATGGATGGAAGAGTTTACCTGAAATATTAAAATTTAATTACATTTTCATTTTGTGGTGCTCAGATACTGGTAAGTTCCAATATAAAAGTTTACTGCCTGGTGTAGCAAACTTGCTCATCAGAGTTGGACACGGAGTTCCCCTTTTTTATTAGAAGTATTCCTCAATCCTTTATTTCCTACCCCCTCCCTTCCTGAGAGGCACAGGGACAGATGTGTGAGTGTTAAAAGTTGCTGGCAGGCCGGAGCAGCAGGGGGCCCAGCGCTACAAAGCCCCCCCATAGAGAGAGCAGACTGTGTGCACCGACCACACGGGTGGTGGTCGGTGCACACAGCGGGCACAGTTCAGAACACGGGTGGTCGGTGCACACAGCAGGCACAGTTCAGGACACAGGTGGTCAGTGTGCACAATAGGGACAGTTCAGGACACAGGTGGTCGGTTGCACACAGCAGGGACAGTTCAGAACACGGGTGGTCGGTGCACACAGCAGGGACAGTTCAGAAGACGGGTGGTCGGTGCACACAGTGGGCACAGTTCAGGACACAGGTGGTCAGTGTGCACAACAGGGACAGTTCAGTACACAAGTGGTCAGTACGCACAACAGAGACAATTCAGGACACGGGTGGTCGGTGCACCCAGCGGGGACAGTTCAGAACACGGGTGGTCGGTGCACACAGCGGGGACAGTTCAGAACACGGGTGGTCGGTGCACACAGCGGGGACAGTTCAGGACACAGGTGGTCAGTGTGCACAACAGGGACAGTTCAGGACACAGGTGGTCGGTGCACACAGCGGGGACAGTTCAGGACACGGGTGGTCGGTGCACACAGCGGGGACCGTTCAGGACACGGGTGGTCGGTGCACACAGCAGGGACCGTTCAGGACACGGGTGGTCGGTGCACACAGCGGGGACAGTTCAGGACACGGGTGGTCGGTGCACACAGCGGGGACAGTTCAGGACACGGGTGGTCGGTGCACACAGCGGGGACAGTTCAGGACACGGGTGGTCGGTGCACACAGCGGGGACAGTTCAGGACACGGGTGGTCTGTGCACACAGCGGGGACAGTTCAGGACACAGGTGGTCGGTGCACACAGAGGGGACAGTTCAGGACACGGGTGGTCGGTGCACACAGTGGGGACAGTTCAGGGCACAGGTGGTCAGTGCGCACAACAGGGACAGTTCAGGACACTCACAGTAAGCAGCTTGCAGACCCTCAGCGGCAGGCGGCTCCACACAGGGACGACCAGCGGTCAGCGTTCCAGGGACGACCAGCGGTCAGAGTTCCAGCGACGACCAGCGATCAGCAGACAGCAGCAGCTCCCCAGGCACTCAACAGTGGACGGCTTCCAGGGACACGCAGCCACGGATAGTGTGCAGGGTCCCTCAGCAGCAGCTTCCAGGGCACTCAGCAGCAGACAGGGTGCTCCGTAGACAGGCGCACAGACTTGCAGGGTCTCAGCTGTGGGGTCTGACCTTTGAGGAGATGGCTCATGCAGAGCTGTGGAGACTCCCAACCCTGGGGTATTGCAGAGGGCTACAGTCCTGACCTTTTGGGGGTCTGCAGAGTGCGCAGGGGGGATGGCTGGGGAGGCTCGGTCCCCCTCACCCGAGCCTCCCAGCATCTTTCTGGGAGCAAGATGATTCCAGCAGCATGGACAGGAACAGAGAGAGGAGGGCTGCTTCCTGTGCGGGTCTTTTGAAGACCATGTGGGACCTCGGGCAACAGGCGGCAACCTACCACACTGGGCAGAAACCTCGGGCAACAGGCACCAACCTACCACTGGGCAGGGACCTCGGGCAACAGGCGGCGGCAATCTACCACTGGGCAGGGGTCTCGGGCAACAGGCAGGCAATCTACCCCTGGGCAGGGGTCTCCAGCAACAGGCGGCAACCTACCACTGGGCAGGAACCTCGGGCAACAGGCGGCAACCTACCACTGGGCAGGAACCTCGGGCAACAGGCGGCAATCTACCACTGGGCAGGGGTCTCGGGCAACAGGCAGGCAATCTACCCTTTGGCAGGGGCCTCGGGCAGCAGGCGGCAATCTACCTCTGGGCAGGGGTCTCGAGCAACAGGCGGAAACCTACCACTGGGCAGGGAACTCGGGCAACAGGTGGCAATCTACCACTGGGCAGGGACCTCGGGCAACAGGCGGCAACCTACCACTGGGCAGGGACCTCGGGCAACAGGTGGCAATCTACCCCTGGGCAGGGGTCTCGGGCAACAGGTGGCAACCTACAACTGGGCTGGGACCTCGGGCAACAGGCAGCAACCTACCACTGGGCAGAGACCTCGGGCAACAGGCAGCAACCTACCACTGGGCAGGGACCTAGGGCAACAGGCGGCAATCTACCCCTGGGCAGGGGTCTCGAGCAACAGGCGGCAACCTACCACTGGGCAGGGACCTCGGGCAACAGGCGGCAATCTACCCTTTGGCAGGGATCTCGGGCAACAGGTGGCAACTTACCACTGGGCAGAGACCTTGGGCAACAGGCGGCAACCTACCACTGGTCAGGGATCTCGGGCAACAGGCGGCAACCTACCACTGGGCAGGGGTCTCGAGCAACAGGCGGCAACCTACCACTGGGCAGGGGCCTCGGGCAACAGGCGGCAACCTACCTCTGGGCAGGGACCTCGGGCAACAGGCGGCAACCTACCCCTGGGCAGGGGTCTCGAGCAACAGACGGCAACCTACCACTGGGCAGGGGCCTCGGGCAAGAGGCGGCAACCTACCACTGGGCAGTGACCTTGGGCAACAGGTGGCAATCTACCCCTGGGCAGGGGTCTCGGGCAACAGGTGGCAACCTACCACTGGGCAGGGACCTCGGGCAACAGGCGGAAACCTACCACTGGGCAGGGACCTCGGGCAACTGGCGGCAATCTACCCCTGGGCAGGGGTCTCGGGGACTCAACGGGACTCTAGCTGTGGAGTCTGGCCTCAGCACAGCTCCCACCCAACTTTCTAGGGACATTGGGTTCACGGGGACTCAACGGGTAGCGATGGCTCAAGCACTCAGGAGCACCACAGGTAGCTATACTCCGGGCACGCCATTGGGCGGTTCAAGTAAGGGTAGTCTAGGCGTGTAGTAGGGCAGTGCATAACCCAGGTGGTCTTTGCGCACAACAGGGACAGTTCAGGACATGGGTGGTTAGTGCACACAGCGGGGCAGTTTGGAACACGGGTGGTCGGTACACACACCGGGGGCAGTTCAGAACACGGGTGGTCAGTGCACACAGTGGGCACAGTTCAGAACACGGGTGGTCGGTGCACACAGCAGGCACAGTTCAGGACACAGGTGGTCAGTACGCACAACAGGGACAGTTCAGGACATGGGTGGTCGGTGCACCCAGCGGGGACAGTTCAGAACACGGGTGGTCTGTGCACCCAGCGGGGACCGTTCAGAACACGGGTGGTCGGTGCACACAGCAGGGACAGTTCAGAATACGGGTGGTCGGTGCACACAGTGGGGACAGTTCAGGACACAGGTGGTCAGTGCGCACAACAGGGACAGTTCAGGACACAGGTGGTCGGTGCACACAGCGGGGACGGTTCAGGGCACGGGTGGTCGGTGCACACAGCGGGGACAGTTCAGGACACGGGTGGTCGGTGCACACAGAGTGGACAATTCAGGACACGGGTGGTCGGTGCACACAGCGGGGACAGTTCAGGACACAGGTGGTCAGTGCGCACAACAGGGACAGTTCAGGACACTCACGGTAAGCAGCTAGCAGACCCTCAGCAGCAGGCGGCTCCACACAGGGACGACCAGTGGTCAGCGTTCCAGGGACGACCAGCGGTAAGCGTTCCAGGGACGACCAGTGATCAGCAGACAGCAGCAGCTCCCCGGGCACTCAACAGCGGACGGCTTCCAGGGACACGCAGCCACGGATAGTGTGCAGGGTCCCTCAGCAGCAGCTTCCAGGGCACTCAGCAGCAGACAGGGTGCTCCGTAGACAGGCGCACAGACTTGCAGGGTCTCAGCTGTGGGGTCTTACCTTTGAGGAGAAGGCTCATGCAGAGCTGTGGAGACTCCCAACCCTGGGGTATTGCAGAGGGCTACAGTCCTGACCTTTTGGGGGGCTCCCCCTCACCCTCACCCGAGCCTCCCAGCATCTTTCTGGGACCAAGATGATTCCAGCAGCATGGACAGGAACAGAGAGAGGAGGGCTGCTTCCTGTGCGGGTCTTTTGAAGACCATGTGGGACGCGGCTAGGTTGCCTCGGCAACGGCCGGCCCAGCCCTGTCCATGGAAGCCCCACAGACATCGGAATGTGCAAGGGGGAAGGGAGGGGTGGAGGGATATGGCGGGGGATGGGAGAGGCACTGGCAGTCCGTGACAGTCCTATATGCCCACATCCTCAAAAACAGAAAAATTCTTGTAGCAATGGATTTTTTTCTGGGCATATAGAAATGGTACCACAAAAAAATTAATAAAATAATCAATTTTAATATACAAATATTAAAATTGTATATAGCACCATGTTCATTGTTTGCAAAGTGAAGTTCACAAATCTTATTTCAATGTTTCAAACATCCACATGTTAGCTCAACGTGCTTCAAACGTCTTCATCAGGAGCACATATAAATAGTTTCCCTATAGGAAAACCCAGTAGTAGAAAGTCAAAAGTTTCCATTTAGTTTGCTGGAGTGGAAATTCTAAAATCCAGAAAGGGACAGCCGAGGGACACGAAGATGGTAGTCCAAAAAGGTGTAATAAATCCAATATAGTCCTCCACTTTTTTACATCAAAAGCAACAAGCTTCAAAGATAGAGAGCAAAATACTCATGCAAGAATCCAAATCAGTTCAGGTCTGGAGTTCAGCGGGACCCACATGTGAAGGAAAACTGCACGACATTCGCACCGGCGTACAAAATGGAGCAATTGTGAACCATGGATGTGTGAACCTAGGGCGGGTGTCGGCAACCCGCGGCTCCAGAGCCGCATGCGGCTCTTTTTCACCTTTGCTGCGGCTCCGGAGCACACTGCCCACCAGGTGACAGGCAATAGGGTTGCCGTAGGTGTTCCAATCTCAGTGGTCGGCAAGCCGCGGCTCTTTTAACCTCCCTGGCGGTTTTCCCGAGTGTAGCTCGTGGTAGAATTTCTATACCACGAGCTACACTCAGGCTTACCATGCGGCACTGCTCTGGGGGTCCCTGCAGCACTTACCTTGTCCTTCGTTCCCGCGAAATGTGTCCCCTGCAGCGTCCCCGGCCATCTCCTCCGGCCAATGCCGGCATCCGGCTTCTGTGTTCCGGTCCCCGTGACGTCGGGACGTACGGGCGCCGCCGGCGGCGGGAAATTTCAAAAATTTAAAAAATGTCTTTTTTTTTTTTTTTCAATTTTCAATAGTAAAACATTGCTGTTTCATCCCATTTCACATACATATTGTCCCGAGTGCTTTGTCCTGTGCCCTGCCTGCATTTTGTCTGTTCTTTCTGCCTGGAAACTTAGAAAAGTCCATGGCGTCCAAAAAGCGTCCCTTTAGGTCAAAAGCGGTTTTAGACCGGCTAGAGAACAGCGATAGTAAATCAGAACCACTTGCAGAATTGAGTGATAATGATTTGTGGGGAAATTTTCCTAAAAATTACAGCCTACAATAAAAAACTATTTCCATGCGAAAAAATGGTACCGCTTTCAGCACAAAAAATCGGAAGGAATCATACCGCCAGGGAGGTTAATGCAGCTCTTCTGTGTGCCGGGCGCCCGCTCCCCTCCCTCCTCTCGGGCGGCCGCCCCAAAAGTCAGGACTCTGCAGCTAGCCTAGCAATGGGCAAACTACGGGCCCGGCGGACCTTGGCAAACATTGGCTGTCAGGATGTAGGCGGGGCAGCGTGACGAACTCCTCTCCTCTCACAGTCCGCCCTGAAGACCAGAACTGCGCGGGAACACGGCGAGAGGAACGCGCGGAGTACATGTAAGTGAATTGACACAATATGGGAATGAATTACTATAGGGGGGATGAATTACTATATGGGGGATGAATTACTATATGGGGGATGAATTACTATAGGGGGGATGAATTACTATGGGGGATGAATTACTATAGGGGGGATGAATTACTATAGGGGGGATGAATTACTATGGGGGATGAATTACTATATGGGGGATGTATTTTCAGTTTTAAAAATGTGGCTCTCAAAATAAATTTTAATCGTGGTTTTGGCGGATTTGGCTCAGTTGAAAAAAAAGGTTGCCCACCACTTAGGTCCTAAGGCTATGATTGTGATTATGATGATACACTGTGGCCCTGATTAACCCTTTGCTTACTGGGCCCTTAAACCCCCTTCATGACCAGAGCGCTTTTTGCAATATATGCAGTGTGGATTTGTTTTAAATGTTGCAATGGTTTTGCGGCTCCCAGTCTTTTTTTCCCTCTCGGAAACGGGTCCAAGTGGCTCTTTATGTCTTAAAGGTTGCAGACCCCTGACCTAGGGTAATGCATCTCACACACGCCAAAAAAACACCCCTCCAAATCATTGGATTTAGCTGTTCCAATCACCTCCATATAAAATCAAGCACCTAGACATGCAGACTGCTTCTACAAACATTTTTGATAGAATGGGTCGCTCTCAGGAGTTCAGTGAATTAACCTCCCAGTCACATCAAGCCAGACTGAAATCGTGTGACTTACAGGGAAGTTGCATGATTTCAAAGTCGGGTGAGGTGCAGATTTCAGGTGCGATTTGCAAGACATCTGACAAAGATGTTGATGCAAAAATCGCACCAAAAGTAGTACATGTACTACTTTAGATTTGACCGCTCTAATTGCGGACAATAGAGTGTGATTCGGCATGCAATTTGCAAGCCGCATGACATGCAAATCGTATGCCAAGTCGCACCTGATGTGACCGGGGTGTCAAGCATGGTACCGCGATAGGTTGCCACCTGTGCAATTACACTATTCGTGAAATGTCCTTGCTACTAAATA